CTGTTTTATTTAAATTATATACAAATACTAGCTGTTGTCCGCGACTCTTTCAGCGCGGAATTAAAAAACTACATAATAAGTAGTTCTTCCAGGCTACGTTGTATATGTATAACAAATTTCATCGAGATCCGTTCAGCCGTTCTGAAGATACCTTCAAACATTCGCATTTATAATATTAGTAAGATATATAACTAGTGTGAAAGGTCTGTAATATCTGTCGCATTTTACAAAGACGACGAATTAACAAACGCTACTTGTAAAGGTTATAAAAGTACAGACAAAATACTACAAGATTTAAATAAAATTAATAAATTGTCAAACATTAATTTGTTATCTATAATTCTGTTGTAAATGAGTAAAATGCTTACTTTATTGTTGCTATATAAAAACTATGTCATGTCAGATTTAATGTAGAACTAGAGATGGGCTTATTGAATGCTTTTATGAATGTTTTATTGATATTTTATTCTTATAAGTGCGTTGTGCCGCGCTGGTGATATCTACCCAGCTTTTATAGACGTCTATTTAGAAATGGTTGTTTAAATGTTGTATCTACATATATAAAAGCAAGTCGTGTTAGTTACACTATTTATAACTCATGAACGGCTTTACCGATATGGTTGAAAATTGGTGAGGAGGTAGCTTAGAGCCAGGAGACGGACATAGGATACTATTTATACTTTTTTTTTCGAATTTATGCCTTGAAGAGCTTTTTATTTAACTTATCTATATATTAAGATTTTTTATATATCCACGCGGACGGAATCGCTGGCGATAGCTAGTTTACAATAAATGTTCTGCCTTACATTTGAAATTACGTAAACATATTATTTATCATTTGCAATTATTACGAGAAACTAGTTTCATACTAACAAAACCTGCAAAATATTGCTTAGTTTACAAAGTTCTTTGTGACTTAAATAGTTACTTTTACTTAAGAATTACAACACCTTTCGTGGTAATGAATCTTGAAATATGAAACACATATATTAAGGTTGGGATTATAATATGGTTCCAATCAAATGTGGGTTTGATAATTTGATCTTACACATCCATTATGGAGCAAATTACTTCGGTGAAAGTCGATCTCCCATATATGGAGGGGACTTTCTATAGGTAACTATAGGTTACGGTTGCCAGTTTTGATAATGTTGTTTATTTTAATGGATTAAATAATACACTGGAACTTTTCTTATAAAAATGTTTTTTATAAAAAAGAAATTTTTTAACAAATTCCGTTGCTTATGAAATTAAAAGATACAATTGTCTACGCCTTAAAAAAAATTAAATTAATTTAAGAACATCGTTTTAACTTACAATTAATTGTATTTAGCAAATATTTTGTACCATAAAAATTAAGTCATTTTGTAAATAATCAAATAAGTATTTACAATTTTATTGCCGAATAACATAAAAGGTGGTCATTGCTATAAAGGATATTCGACTTAACGACGGCGCCGTGACGTCATCAACACGAAATATGAGAGCAATTAGGTGTTAAGCCGCAGTTATTAGAGAGACTTTCTCTGTTACATTAGGAATCCCGCGCAATATTCAAAAATTATGTTTTATGAATGAATGATTTCTAACTTAGTTATATAGGCTTGATTTCTGTCTGTTTTCTGATTTCTTACTTCATCTACGTTAGAGCATCATCAACAAAAACTAACTAGATTAACATTAAATCAGACTAAACGTAATTTATTTTTATTGCTTATCAAAGAGGCAGTGTTTATTACCAGTGTAACTGCGGAGGCTTTCTTCCCCGGATTTATTTCCTCCGCCGCAACCTTTGTATCGAGGACCGTAAATAAGGTACTTTCAGCGAAAAGAAAGTATTAATTCCTTTCTTTCCTTTTATACTGTTAATGGTTTTGTTAACCGGAGCAATGTTATCGCGCTACGAACTAGCGATGGATTGATAGATTCTCTTTGTTTGTTGGAATTTAGTGACTGTATACTAGAATAGGAATGTGATGCACATTTGTTACTTTTTTTGCAAAGATTTGGTGTTCCTTCTTGTGTATTCGTGTATCGCATACAAAATGAAATAATGTCCAGTTTACATGATTCCAGTCAGCGATTGAATGCAGCGTGGGTTACACTTAGAATAATGTATACCAACACTGGAATACTATAGGTGAGTTCCAGTGTGGGTTTACACCCTACCATTTAAATCCAGCTCTGTAGCTCGATAGCTGGACTGGTGTAATGTAAACTGGACATAAATTTCAATAAGCTTCAGTTCACTGGAAATAACTCATCATTACATATTTAAAATCTCAACATTTCATCAATCCATTAAGACCTTCTCTTAACGGTCGACACTACATCATTAAAACAAAACTGCCACTCACATTTAAATACACAATTCCATTAAAAAGAAAACGCAACTGTCGTACGTTTCGAGTGTTTCGAGTAATACTTGAAATAGTTCATACAATGGTGAATTTTTAAAGGCGCGTGCACACAGTTGCACCGTAATCAGTTAGCGCGGCGTAGTGTCGTAGTGTCGTAGTGTCGGAGTGTCGGCGTGTCGACGTGTCGGGCGGTGTCGAGTGTCGACCGCAGGCGGCGAGGGCTCTCCACACGATGGTGCTCGAACATCTGTCGCTCGTGAGGGCTTAGCGTTAAACGCACCGCTCATATGTGGTACACCCGTAATGTCGGATTTGTTTTCAACTATTTTGTATTTTATTGTCACTGTTTCTTTCAACTTTTAACCAAGCGCAAAAAGACAATATTCCCTTATGTGCAAACGTATTCAATACAACATTCATAAGACATTGAAATCTACATAAAAACTGGCTGGTAAAGTGATGTTAGTGATATTTTTGTCCGTTTGAATTTCGTATATTTGAAGAGTTTAAAAAAAATGTACGACCTAATTTTTCAAGCATCTATTCATTAAAAAGTATACCATGAAAGAATTAATTACTGTTTGCAGTCAGATTTTTCAGCTCTAATAAGGTTTTTCGTACTTATTTTTCTTCTTTCTGAAATATTTTTGTTTTATACTATTACATGTCATTTGAACGACGACGACGAACTCAAGACGTCGAACTTTAAAAAAAATAAGAAACCGATGGATTCGTTCGCTTGAGCGTATAAATACAAATAAACCATATCCCAATTTCATACTTACAATATTATACATTGATCATTAACACCGTATCAAGTGCTAACATCTCTAACCGCTGGAATTACAGCTCACCGGAAGTTTCGAACTTCGGCCGAATGGCGGCCGAGAGTCATTTGGACAAACAAAAAACCAGATGTGTTGATGTACTGGGTCGATGGGCACAGAGCACTGAGATATCAATGGATTGGAACAGATCTCATGTTTTTGTATGTAAAATATAAATGTGTAAATATGATCATGTTTTATAAATAATTAATTTAATACGTAGTGGGAAGTTTTCGCGATTAAACACGGTACAGTTTTCATATTCATGAGTTCTTCAAAATGCAATGTCAAGAGCTTGTTTTGAGGAGTACATGATAAATTAAGCTTGGAATAGTGCAGATAGTACCATATCAAACTCAGTGTAGTAAAAATATTGCTTGTTATATTTTCACACGTAGAACTCTACATTGTCAACAACTTTGTCTTCTACTATCCCTTCCAGTTACCTTTATTTCGTTTCATTCTTCGGTATTTGATTTCGTCCACTCTAACAATAGCATGTCTACGGCGATAGATCGTGTGAATTAACCTCGTTTGCGCGACGGTGCCGTACAAGGCGAGTGGAAAGCGCACTCGCCTTATTAAACAGCCCACAATGGGAGTCTAATGTAGGTACATACTCTCAAAAACTTAATGCGGCTCACAAAAGGCATGGTTAGCGGTGGACGCGTGATTACTTACAAAAGCAAGTTGTTTCACAACGCCCGCCTTTGTGCAGCCGCGACTGGCGGGGACCAAACTTGTCACCGGCCATCTGTCGTATTTAGAACAATTGCCGTATTCACTATATTTTAAAGTCAAAAAATATACTCCCACGAGTATATTAACCCCCTTACCAGATCTACAGTTTCAGAAAGTAATCGACTACTTCACAATTTTCCTAAAAAGGAAAAAAGGTAAATTAACTTAAATTGTTTTTATCTAATAGTGTGTTACATTACCAAACTTTCACCGTATATAATAAAAAAACTAAATTTAATTTCAGATCTAACAAGGACCCATCGAACCCATTAGGCACTCGACGCCCCAAACCATTCATCTTAATTCACTTACTGCCCCATCCCACCTCCCGACTAGAACGACTGGAAATCCCAATGTGTTTCCGAATCATTTTCAAATCACGACATCTCGCGAGAAATGAGACGAAGTGTAATCGAGTCATGCGCCCCCGGCCGCACGCGTCGCCTGAATAGTGTGGAACGGCGACACGCGCACTGTTTGATGTTGCTCAATTTACTTGAAACTGAAATTGACTATTTGAAATTAACCAACTTTTTTGATTCGACATAACTCAGAGTAATATTCGTTCGATAAAAGACAAACTGTATTTCTACGGCAGTTTTTAATATGTAGAATTATATTTTCAGTACCATTATATTTCTCATTTTCTTTTCATTGATCTACCATTATAACAAATACCACCATATGGACTAATTTCGATTCATTTGATTCCCTCATTTGCTCTCTTGGTCTATTCAGTAGTCATGAAATATTATAAGAGGACTTCATCACTTTATGATGTCGCAAAAGAGCAAGCCGCCACGTTTCAGTGCCGGCAGTGACAAACGGTCTACGATCTAGATTTATCGCAGTCGAGCGGACGACGTGCGCCAGAGTTTCCAGCACTTTTAATTTACAACCTAGTACAGCTTACTTCCTGAAAATACCAACAGTAAATACTTTACAAAAATTTTATTCCTTTTATCATCTATCCTGATCAGGGAGAGATAAAAAGCTGACTTCTTTGAATATGAACAGAAGTTTAAAACAAATATTATAAAAATATTTTATTAATGTTTAATTACAAGCCGCGCGTAAAGGAAAGTAAAGGTAAATTTGCACGGATATCAGTAAAAATAAATCATTAGCACATGACATTATAAAATAATACGAAAGAAATCAATTTGTTCCAATTATTGCGACGTAACCTCCTCATCAACTTGTACACGCCCCCTTTTAGAATCGTATAAAGGATTTCTGAACGCTGTTCTCCTAGTACTCGTCATCACAGAATCCCGTCTGGTCAGCGATACTACACTATCACTTCGCCTTTGAATTCTCGCCAAGAATGTCGGCAAGCTCCGTCCCAACATAGGGTATCTGATTTCTGGTACTTTATAATAATAAACATATATCATACCCATCGTACAGACAACTAAAAAGAACACTGATATGAAAATTTTCCCACCCAATCCAGCCTTTGAAAGAGGGCTCCCACTTATTAGTGCATACTTAGTACCTTCAACCCAATGTTCCTTAATATTGTAATCAATCGTGTGGAGTACCTCTGCACTTGTACCATCATATTCGTCCTTATCAACTATCACAAGTTGCACTTTGTCGTTTGGTAATCTCCCAATGTGATACTCCAAATTATCTCTTCCATAACTTTCCACTATCTTTTCTACTAGTTCTTTAAACTCCATCATATCAAAACTCTTGGTGATATCAAATGAAATATAACCACCACAAATTTTACAGCAATGTCCGATAGGTTTGATTGGATGGACGCAAGTAGGTACCGGGCAGTATTTCGACGAGCAGTCAATTTGTAAAAAGTTATCTTGACACGGGCAGCCAGATCTTGACTGACACTGCGTATCCCCGATGACCAATCCTACACCGTATAATGTATTTAAAATGAACTGTATCGGTTCATCAGATCCGGTGATAACATGGTCATGAAATTTTGTGGTGCTTGTGAATTGCCGATCTCCAACTTGTATATATCTCACGTGTTGTAGTAATTCAGGGAGTGTGACTGTCGTTTGAATATTTGCCGGAAATTCGACGATGTCATCAAAACATGGAACTCTCTCGGCGTCAGGCGTGGCCTTATTAAACTTTGACGAACTCCATACATTAGCTTGCGCCCATGAAGCTTTAGAGTTTTCTAAATAATACACATTGCCTTCTGTGCAGTTCGTTTCATATGGATCTTCACCTAAATTTATAGTTCCCTCCAGTACCATTTCACCGTCGATAGGCAACACAAATGAATTTACATTCGTTTCAGAATTAATTTTCACTGATCCCACGAGTCTCGCGGGGAATATAACTGTCTGTTTTGAACATGGAAGTTCCCCATTTTTAAAATTAATAGGTAAATTGAAGCTCGAATCCGGTAACCACTTCACTAACGTTTGTGTTGTAAAAGAAAACAAAGGTATTAAAATATATAGAAAATAAAACATTTCGAAATTCATACGTTCTATGCAATGAAAACTAGTTAACGAATGGCAGTACGGGGAGGTGGCTTCGTAATTGGATAGCGCGTGATGTCTGGCTGTTTATCAACGGAGTGTGACATGTAGTTGTTATCTGCTTCATGGACGCATGCTATCCAATACGTTTCATATTTCCTCACACTTTTTAAAACTCATTTATTTATTTATTTATTAACAACAATACAATACAAAAAAAGTAACAAATACAATAAAAAAATGAACCTATTGTGCTAGTAGTCACTATGTGTTGAATGAAATTTCCAAAGTCGTTTTACACATCACTTACTAGGAAAGCTTTCCCCTGTAATATTGGATGTCTTACTATGTCTTTTGTAAAGTAAAATAATAAATTGTATAATATTTTTAAATGTATATAAGAGAAAGATTATGGATAATCCGCGACCTTGCCTCGTTGTGATCCCCTGGGATTACTATCATCTTGAGACGGCAATAAAGTCGGCTGAAGCATAGGCTATGATATGATATTACATGATATCTCATGATTTATCACGGAGTAACACCACTAGGTGGTTAAGTACAAACCATTAATGAGTTTCAGTGAGGGGTGGAAATTTAATAAGAGACTGCAGCCGCGCCAAGAAGCGTAGTTATGCAAATTTTATTACTGGAAAAGCCTTCCAAGTGAACATACGGGCATAAACTTGGACAAAGTAACTTTCATTTTACCCTGAAAAATGTTTATTTATATTCGTATACAAAATCACCCAAAAGTATATGTTTTAACGGTACGTATTATGCGTTTTTTTATCATATATGTATTAAAAATTTCGTAGGAAAAAATTATGATAGGTGATTAATCTAATACTTAATAAACAATATTATTATGACGTCACTATATTTAAAAAAATAAACAATTTAGATATAACAAAAATTAAAATGTTTGCCACTTCCCAAAGCAAACAATATAGCCTTCTAAGTCAAACTTTAATATAATCTCGCGCGCATTTCCCATCCGTACGTTCTGTCTACGCAGAACAGTCGTAACAAGCCCACTGAAACGCACAATATGCTAGATGGGTAGATAACGGAGCTCTGTAAGTGTTCGGCTTTTACGGTTTGACGCGAAATTGCAGCGGGCACGTTTGAAACTTACCGGAGGGGTTCCCAAAATTGTGAACGCGCTTATACAAGTTTAAAGTCAGCATTAATAATTAACTCGACTATGAGAGTCTCAGTTAATGAGATATTTTAATTATTTAATGGTTCATTTTCGAACTGCTGTAACATTTTATTATGTACTAAAACGTGATATTAAGTGTCACAGTTGCCAAGTACAGCTGTAAAATAACTTAAGAAATTTCAATTTACAGTAATATTATAAGGCTTTCTTTTTAATTTGTACTTAAAACATTTTATTATAATAATAGGTCATTGTAAATATGCGCTTTATAGTGAAAAATTTCCTTCTAATGTAAATAATAAGGATAACAATTGTAAAGTTTCGGAGGGAATTAAGCTGCGAAGGGGAGAGCAGACTAAGTTGGACCATATAAATGATAATGGACCTGCAACGTAGAGTTTTATGAAAATTAATTCAATTCTGAAACAAATTTTCATATATTAACAGAGTTAGTACAATAAAGTTCTGGCATATACGGCCATTAACTTTCTAAAGACAATAAAAAATAATACAAAATTAAATTACATTTGGTTTAAAAGTGTTTATATTATTTACTTTAGTAAAAATCTTTAATAGCAGTTGCCCACGACTTCGTCCGCGTTGAATAAAAAAAAATAGTGATAAATACAGGCCATACACTGACATACCACCCGAGGAAAGTGTGGTTTCCTAACAGTGAAAAAAATTTCAAATAGGTTCAGTAGTCACTTAAACTTTCCGTCTGTTTTCATCTTACAAATGTCTATCAAATCCTCGCAAGTGGTACTATTTGATGTTGAAACAAAGTGTATCTGTAATTACTCTATTCATGTGAGCTCGGTGTCGAGCAGCGGGCAACTGGTTGCGTTTAATAACAGCTGAGAAAGCTCGTGCCGTCTTATCCGAACACTGGTAATAAACTACTGCAGTATTTACTACTTATAAAGTCAGAGCAAAACGTTCAATCGCTATTTGTAATTGTTAATGTAATGTTAATGGCAACATTGTATTATACATATCATTGCTTTGGCCTCTCTTGTAATAAAACCTTGTAACGACATTTTTACTGCCCCTTAATAGTTTTATTTCAAAGTAACGTTCACAAACGAGTCATTTAATTCGCCAAAATAGCAAAGTGACCTTTACCCATAGATATCTGCATTTGTACACGCGTTACGTACCTTTTTTTGACAGAGGCGGGGAATTAGGTCTCCGACACACACACTCTTCAAACAAAACGCGGCATCCCTACACTTGTCTGGGGTCCTAGTATTTCAACGGTCGAACTGACCAATTCATGAATACAATAATTTTCTTTCTCTTTTAAATAATATTTGAATAACTAAAAAGTTTCTTAACATACACTAACCAAGGAGGATGCTTAGCAAAATTTTCAAATAAGATTTCCGCAGTCCTATGAACTCAAGTAATCTCGCTTCAAGCCGTCTCAAAGGAATACTTGCAACTTTATTAACTGCAATTACACTAACTAACTGCATGCACTCCCTCGTTGTGAATTACTGCGTACGTGTGACATGGAAAACTTGTTTCTGCACACATTTTGACACTTATATGTAAATTGCTACATTATATGATCTTTTTAAGCATACTAATTTTATGAAAATATTTATTGTATTTGAAGTACTAATAAATATATGCTGTGCTTTTATATGAAACCAATAAATATGTACTACATTCGTAGCAGTATGAATTTTCGACAGCCTCACTTATTGACTACATAATCAAATTTAAAGTTTGTACAAAACGCTAAGAAGAGTTGGAGTGATAAAAATATATGTGTAAATATATTAAATACAAGTAGGGCTTAAATATTGCCCAATCATGGTGTAATAAAGTTGTGAGAAAACATCGTATCTATGGTCGTTATTTTGGTGTGTCGCGCGGCGGAAGATGGCACGAGATTAATCGTGACGTCACCGCCGGAAGTACCGTATGTGGGAGGGGGCGCTTGCCGGACGTCCGGCCGGCGGGCTGGGGTTCTGCTAGGGCCTGCGAGCGTACTCCGTCAGCCGTATTAAAATATTTACGAAGAAAATCTATTTCGGAAACATATTTTACATGAACTGAATCCAAATATCTCTATAAAAATTTAAAAAATATAATTTGGGAGTAGCATATAGAATTTTTGTATACTATGATCAACTTAATTAACTATGTACTATGAACACTTATAGCTAGAACTTATTATAATTCTGTCTTATTATGTATACTCTGGTTGTCTTCTGTATACGCTCACTGCAATGGTAACATCTCCCGGGCGCTCAGTGCCACTTCCGTGTGAAGGCGCGGCGCCTAAATACCGCCGCGTAATCCCGCGACACTTACATGACAAACTATTAATTCATATGGCATTTCTCTGCCAGTTTCGATAGCAAAAGATTTATATTTAAGTTTACTCTAATCGTTGACATGTATTTCTTTCAAGTCTCTATGAGAAATTATACCTACGTAACATATAGTGAGTTGAAAATGGAGATTTTTTTAATTTTGTTTCTCATCTCAAGAAAGTCTCCTCATTTTTATATTTTAGAACAACAGATACTGAGACAGTCGTCATGTCGCGTGAGGCACGCAGAGTCGCGTGCGGCCGCTACGCAATAGCATGAGTAACATTGACTCGACTAACATTAACGATACGCTGGCAATCGCGTTATGAATAACTAAGGAGTAAACTAAAGGCACCATGACAGCTTACATTGATTTGTATTCATCTTACCCACTACAATACCATCCGCATAATTCTTAAATCTTCTTATATATAGGTAAAAAATTCTCGTGTCACAATGTACCGTACTCCTCCGAAATAGCTTGACCCATTTTTATGAAATTTTATATGCATATTCAGTAGGTCTGAGCAACGACTACCATCTATTTTTTTATTCCGTGCGGACGGAATCGCAAGCGGCCAGTAACAACTATAATTTTTTTTAATATTTTACGTAACCTCGGCTAAACTGTTAAGACCATTTTCAGTTTCATTTTAGTTTGGTTCCTTTTAACTTTACAAATTATCAACTGGAACCTAAGCTAACAAGATAAGAACTTCCAGACATTGAAAGCATAAAGGTAAACAGATTTAAAGGCAGACTCGCGCTCCCAAAGGAATACTTGCGTCTTATTAACTGCCATTAGGGACTTGCTCCTGTTACCCGCCGAGAATTAATTCTCGTAATAAAATCCAGAACTTTCACGTTGACTGAACTTTTTGACATTTTACTTGAGAACCGTTTTAGTTCGTCTTTGTAAAACTTTAGAGAAGGGTAAAGGAAAAACTTTACTGCTCCCCCACCTTATTAATTTTTCTTACCATAATACTAAGCAAAAATTATTAAATAATTTTAGTTTTAAAATTGACTGTACAGTGCCAGTTTATATAATATAAAAATATAAACTCAAATTTATTTTGATGCACAGATGTATCTTTCTTGAGAGTATTTGAGAAGTACATTGTTCTAGAAATCCGTTCGTTGAGCCAGCTGCCGTCGACTTACAAAGATTTAATGCTGGCTTTGAGAAATGTTCTGGCAAGCCGGGGAAAAATCTTACAGATGTTAAGACAATCCTTCACTTGAATGTAGTAAGAATGCACTATCCCTAAAAATTGAAAGAAATCACAATTGAGATACTTTAAAAAGTAATAATTTTATGACAATTTGCCACAAAAATAAGCAACATTCTTTGTTTGTCCACACGTTCCATTTTCTTCTAATGCGAATTGTTAGCAAACGGTGACCATAATGATTCATAATCAATAACTTCTCTTTGTATCGCTTAAATCATATCGCGTGTCCAGTGCAGGCGTGGCTGCAGTACGCACAATCGCACAGAGGCTTATCGTGGACAATGAGGACAAACAATCGATTATGTTATATTGGTACCCGCCGTAAGTCGCC